GGATAACCTTTGTACTCCGTCAACAAGAACTCCGTTAACCCGTTGCCTCGGTCGATTCCCTGAATTGGACTGTGCCACAGTGGAACCGAGGTGTGGGATGGTGTAGTTGACGGCCTTGATAGCCCCCCGCCCGAAAGCAGGTTTAAGACGAAGTTGAGTGTTAGTGGCAAATTGGACAATGAACGATTTAAGTTGATAGCGTTTCATCATGTTTATACGAGCATGACAGGACGAGCATGACAGGACGAACTTGACAGGACGAGCTTCACAGGACGAGTATGAAATACCGCACACAACAGGACGAGAATTTTAACCAATCAGAGCCTTGTCGGGTAAATTTGTCGTGTGGGAGGATTAAGGGATACATAATTAAATATAAGGAAGTGTCCACTGTCCGAGTGGAAAGAAATACAGTGCTGGCGATAAGTTTAGCACGATAAGTTTTCTGGGCAGAACTCGTAAAGCAGAGAGTCCCGTGTATTCAAACCATGTTCACATGACTTAAACAAGTCAAGATTCATTGTCTTTAGTGAATTTATGAAGGGCATTATCACTTGCAGACTACATACTGCCGATAATTAGGTAATTGGTGGGAACATAAAAAACGCGCTTATATTGGTTTTAAACGCTTGGAGTGTGATAATAAACGTGGGTGTTCTAAACTTTTTGCCACGCCAAAAAATAGGTAAAACGGTTTCTTCTATTTTGAATCGGTAAGGTCAATCCGATTGCTGTGAAAGGTCATGCCGAGTGTTTGTGAGATGTACCTGAGAAAGATAGTATAGCTTTTGTTGTTGAAAGCATGCTTTTCTTTCCCTTGTTGGCGAAAATGCATGTGTGCTATACTTATCGCCAGCACTGTACAGTGATCCCCCGATTTTTGCAGCCTGGTCGGAATATAATAAGATAGAGGTATAAGCGCCAAGGGTTATGCATATTATGAGGTTTTCCTACCCGTTCCTCGGCTAAATACCTGACTGAATAAGGCAATTATAGGTTATTTGGCCACGCTATGTTAGATAGGTGGGATGCACGATGACGCCGAACTCCTGTGTGATCCTCGTACATGTAATCGATAACGTGCGGTCGAAAGAGCAGCTGTAATATGCTCTGACTCTGGAATGAGCGTCAGTCGCTTGGCAGGTGCTGGCATTGTGTGATTGCACTGAGATCAAATGTTGTTGACCTGCGGTTGTTGCGCCGGATTGGCTACAATCGTTTGAATTTCAAATTGTATTAATCCCTCTTGAACTTAATATTGTATAGCTTTACATGGGATATTAGTTTATACCAGGCTGCAAAAATCGGGGGGGTGATAATCAGATATTTTAATATGGGCTGAAATAAGGCATCTTCAATCCACCCTAAGGTAATCCATCAATATCGCGAACGCTTTTTGTGCACTAAAATGTCAAATGTTTGAAGCACTCCATCACAAAAAGTCCCTCGAATAAAAAAAAACTAAAGGTAGCGTTGGAAAATATAAATCCAGCTGCATTTTTTAGTGCCAAGAAGTGCCTGAAATATCCCAATAATCGATTTGTATTTTGAAATTATAACGTAACGTTAAGAA